AAATATAAAATAAAATAACGCGTTTTAGTTATTTTATTTTTATATTAATTTCAATTTATATTAAAATTTATACTATATTTAGATCACCTGAATGGGTATTTAATTCATAAATTCTAATATTTTATTAATAATTGCTTGACTTGTGATAAAAAGTTGTCACATTTACATTTAAACATACATGTATAGAAGAACATGATAAATTATTATTTATGTTTAATAATTACATATCAGATAAGATCATGCACATATTTTTTGCAGAGTAATAAAATGATATCGCACAACACAATATAGACAAGTCTAGCTTATAATTAAGCTATATATTCGCTGAATTTTCAAAATTGATTAAGAGACATTTCTTTCATTATCGCAAATGTGCAGTCGTATTAACGACGATGCTACTTCAACTTAAGATGTTTACTCTTAAATTAACGATTCGCGATGGGTTAATTATCGCAATCGCGTATAAAGAGTGCCGAAGAAGCGAAAGTATTCGTATGTACAACGCGATGCCCGAAATAAAAATCAGCTCTCTAGAAAAAATTCTCCGTACCTAAATCTCTTTTTATGTATCTTTTTTACGTACCTTGTCCTGACGAACGGACATCGTTTCCTCGTTGAAAAATGCGTACGACACCCTGTTTCCTTTAACGTATACTGCCAACTACGCACTGACAGTGTGAGAAGGATGATCAGGGAAGGGTTATTACTATCCGGCGACATATATAATATATGAGACTCCCCCTCGTTTATTTCTCCATTAAATTCGATTAGGAAGTGAGATCCATGGTTATCAAAGTAAATGGTCCCCTAATCTCCCCTTGCATACTGATACACGAGTGCTTTCGTATATATAGAGATCTGCTACGTGCATTGACTAACTTATTATGGCATTATTTGATGTAATACAACCACGCTCATAGACTGAAAAATTTTCTAATCAAAATACACTATCAATGTGTTTATTCTTCTATTACTCGGAAATTAATTAAATTCTTATCGATACCTTATCGATATCTGCTTCTCTTATTCCTTTTCCTTTTTTGATTAACTATATTGAATTTGCAATTCTCTGTCAATTCTGTTTTCAATCTGAAGAGTTCACGTGTTAACACGAATGCTAGAAAACAAACGTATTTAATGACGTTATCTTGAATTCATCGATAAAACGCCGTTTAATTAATTATCATTATGAATTTACAATAATACGTTAAAATGTACATGATTATTTGCGCAATTTACTTTCAAACGCGCATACGATTTAAACAGGACTATCTCGCCGTAAAATCTCATTTACTTATATCAGTAATGCTTTTATGTCGCGATTAAAGAGCTATTTAATCTAATGGGATTAAAAGGCACGCGTTGATTTTATGTTATGTTAACGCGATTTATTTTTCACGGATTGAATCCCATCGCGCACAATTACTTTCAACTCGGAATTCGCTGCGAGATACCTTATCTAGGACGATTTATGTGTAAGAATAACAATCCGTCTATCTCAGACATGGGAAAAGATCCTCATCGCTCGCGCGTGTTATTGAATATCATTAGAGTATTCTATTTCTGTTACTTTTTTCGAATAATATTCGCGTATTTATTTCTATATTAATATATAATAAATTAAATCATTTATTTAAGAAATTTTTTTATTGTGAGCACAGAATAATATTTGACTAAATCTTTTTTTTTTAATTGATTCCGAGATTGCAAATTGTATAGGTTGTCCATTTATTTATTCATTTTACTCCAGAATAAAATAAAAAATTTTTGAGCCAAATTTCTCAAATATGTGTACATACATGCTCAGCCAGAGAAAATTGCATCCGCATAATAATGAAAGAATTCTTATGAAGACAGAATGAGCGCATGTGTCTGCTATTATATTTACAATATGCAGTTTGCATAATTAATGCTTAACAGGACATAGGAGCTCGATATTGCGGCATGAATTGTTAGATTGTTTTATTACCTTAACGCTTGATTAAACATTAACTATCTGATTTTTTTATATTTTGATAGAATAAAAACGTTGAATTTCTTACGATTGTTTAATTGTGCCTCGTTTTCTCCGCTCATATTGTGCATACATCTTTAAGTCGTTTTTTTATTTCGAATGATATAATATATTTTAATTATTTTATAACTAATAATATAATAAGATGACATATACATGCGTATATAACATAAACGTAGATAATTATATGTACCTATGTTAATCTGTCGCGCACATATTTAATTAATGTGCTCAAGTTACAGATCAAGTGTATACTATTAATCAAAAGTACTATAATTATTCGACACAATTATTTGCTGTTTAACATTAATAAATGATTATACTCTAAAGTGAATTCATTAGAGATATTATATGTCGCTTGCATTCTAGTTTTTCATTTCGTTACGGAGATATTATACATGTTTCCCGTTTAATTTTTCAGCCGCTTTCTTTTTATGATAAATGTAAATAAACTGTAATAACTACCTATCATATACGATAGCCGATTATTTATTTAATATCGATCCAACATTTCCCAATTTATAACAAGTTGTTACATTTAAGCAAAAAAAAAATAAAATTATTTTTATGAACAGTACACATTTTTCTTTTATAAAAATAATTAAGAATTATTATTTGGTTATTTATGATTAGTTAGAGTTAATTATTAGTTTATTATTTATGGATGTAGACTACAAAGGAATATGAAAGAAAATATTTCTGAATAATTGATATTATTTATAAATATTTCCTTGATATTATTTATATTGCTTATAAATAATTATAATTAGTAAATTATTATTTTATTAAAATTATTTTATATAAAATCTTTTGATATAGAAAATATAGTTATTTTAGGCTTACAATGCATATGCTCGATGTATAATATTTCCGTATAAGGATCTGACTACTTATGCATTTAATAAATGTAGCTTCTTTTGCAAGAGGGGAATATGTTATCCAACACATCGCGAAATTGATTACTCAACAATGTCAGGAATTTCCTATAAAAATTTTCGTACATCATTTTTATTAAAACGTCCGGCATTGACAACGCGATTTACGTTACGAGAGTTGCGATTCCAAGGCTGACTACAATCCCCTGACTGCAATCGTCTTTCTTTCTACGAGCTACAAATAATCCGCCCACAATACACACGCGCAATACACGCACATACACACACACACACTCACACTCATTTCGAAGTAGTATTTCACGTATATGTGATGGTATCGAGATTGTTGTTTAATACCAATGAGAGGAGATAGCGAATTATAGATTGTGACGACTGTCGAGAGATCCGTGATGCGATTAGGACGATTAAAAATAAACTTTTAATAAATTAATTAATTAAAATTAATACAGAATGTATAGCTAAATAAATAATTTAATAAATAAATAAATGATACAAATATAAATAATATTATGCCCGAAATTCTACGCGAGAAATTATTGTAGCATACTATCAATATGAAGCAAAAAGATATGTAATATAAGCGTAATTCCGTAAATTCCTGGTAAATAACGTTTTTGCCCTCCCTTCTCGTCACATATGATTATCTGTGTACAACCATTATATTTTTGCCAAGGATAAAAATCAGATCACTCGTTCTTTCAAGTGCCGTTGGATGCAAATTAACTTCCTTACGCAATTTATAATAGGATGCTTTTTGCAGTCTTAGATTAATGTTGGCATTAATGTTTATTGGCTCACCTCGATAAGTAAGCTTTACAAGAAGCATTCATTAAAATATCCTTTTTTTACATTGCAAAACGAGTCACATTTTGATTAGCAATAAGACTGAATATTTATCATGAGTAACAATTAAAATTTGTTGCATTTTTATCACATTTTCTTAAAAATTATTTACTTCACTCTTTTATTCTTCTGATCGATCGTCAAAATCTATATGTCTCATCATTATTTTTGTTTAAAAAATATTATTTCAGTAGTTGTGATATTAAATTCATTCAAATTAAAGAAGATTAATAAGCATAAATTAAGTTTATCTTTATATATATTTATATGTATATTAAACCGAAGAATTATTTGCATTTCAAACAAGAAACATTATCACGTAAACATATTTTACAGAGCAACACGTATATCGATATATGGAAATGTAGGAAGTTTGCAACTGTTTTCAACTGCTGATATAATAATTGCTGAGGATATCTACAGATTATACTAATGAATTGCGTATCCGATGAGCAGATCTTATTAGAATATCGTGGACAAGAGACAGAGAGAGACAAAGTATAGGATAGCAAAAGATAATCAGTTTAATTTTTCCCCTAAAAATTGATTTTATAACGTTGCAGTTTTTCTGCAACACCGATATTGGCAACTTTTAACGTTCAACAATATCTCACAGCCTCTCTCTTGCCGCTCTCTCTTCGCGAGATTGCATCTTGTATTTTATCCAGCACGAGTGACGAAGCGTGTCGCAATGCCGTATGTATGCACAATTAAAATCCGATTGCATCAACGCATATATGCAATAATGCAATCTTAAGAATTTTTTAAAATTTTTCTCGTTTTATTCTTATGGCAAACAAAATAAAGTTACCTCTCAAAATTCGTCTTACAATTAATTGGTGAAACTGAATTGAATTTAATTATATGCACTCTTCAGGATAAAAGCATAATTGATTTAAATATTTCTCGATAAAATCGATCGCCTAAGAAATCACGGTAGATAATTATTGATCGCTAAACGTCAAAATTTTGCCAAATGTCACACAGAAGAGATCAGGAGCGGCTAGAGTCTTTGTCATGATGAGGAGCAAGCATGAAATTAGCACGGGGATTAGACTAAAGATACCAAAGTGATGCTGGATATAGCATAGGGGCCGACGAAGATGAAGTCGATCCTGGCTGAGAGAGATGATTCGTGACATCAGCGCGCTCAGCCAGCGGTCGTCATGACGACGAGCGATCATCTTCCACCAACACCATCATCCCCCACCATCACGACCACCGAGAGCGCAGCGAGAAGGCTCCCCTCCACAGTCGACTTCAGTTGGTTTCAGACCGACGAAGGAAGGTCGTCGCGTGCGCGTTACGGGCGGTGTGTTTGTGCGTCGCGTCACCTTCATGTCTCGGCCGCGTTATCGTCACCGTTGTCATCTCGATTCGCGAGGTATCGTCCGATAAGACGAAGGAGTGCGTAAAAAAGAACAGAGAAAAAAAGAATCGCGAGAGAACACGCTTTCGGCCGCGACGCCGAATTCTCCGGTCGCGCCCCGGTACCCTCTCACGCTCAATAATGAGGGACATGGCAGGTAAGATCGCCGAGTTGAAGTTCGAGGCACCTCTCGCGCGCTTCGAGGAGGAGGACACCGCCAGTCTGAAGAACATGAACCTTTTGACAGGTGCGAAACAACCGCCTTGTTCTTCTCCTCTTCCTCCCTCCTTATTATTGTTGTCTGACGCAGAGCTGGTGTTCCTCGGCTGCGTGTGTTGTTAACTTTTTTTTTTTTAATCCGTCGTCGATGCGTCTTTATCGAGTTTAGCGACAACCAAAATAGAGATGCCAGCTGACGCGTTGCTCCAATTTATTATATTCGCATTAATTGGAGTAAAGGAACGACGTCACACTTTAAATGTCTGCGTAGTTAGCACATCACACACTTTTAGAGTTTGCTGTATAATTATTGATTTTTTGTTCTTTAAAAGGTTTTCGAGTTTCCAATACAAAAATTTGAATTAAATATTTTTAAAAAAATTAACGAAAAAAAGATTGATAACAATTTTTTTATGTCGACCAACAATCAATTTAAATTATTATTATCGCGGCAGTAATATAATCCGTTCGCGATCTTAATTTTACGACAGATTCTCTGGCCAATTTTCAACGTACACTCTTTGTGCTAGATGTTTATACGAATCTCGGCAGTTTCACAGAACCGGAACGGAAGAATTTCGGGACTGGTCGCAGCTGGACTGCGTTCCAAATTTTCTACCTGCGCAGAGAAGCTAGGACAAACAACAGACAGGAACGAAAAAGCCGGATTTACTTAAGTTAGACCGACCGAAGTGAGACCCTTACTTCTTCGAATTTATTTTCGTCGTTCGGTCGCATTGGCGCGGTCGAGAAATTGTCGCCGGTTAACTTAGCGGAAGGATTCCATCCGAAACTATTGTGTTTTTATTGGCGAACACATCAGCTGTTTTCCGAATTTTCGTGTCAATCATCGGACCTCGGCATCGATTTTAATTTTCATCGCGATGTAATTAATTCTCCGTGCTCCTTTCTAGGTCATAATAATAAAAACACTCTTCTCTTAATTGCTGCCTTCAAAAAAATTGATTAAATTTTACTTATACCTTATAATTAAGATTAATAGCGAGATATCTTGTTTTTATTTCTTTATTCACGGTTTACTTTTTCTCAAACGCGCACTATAAAATCTTTCTACATTTTAAATATGTAGACTGGAGATGACAGATTTTCTGACTCTTTATTCTGTCTTATGTGCGTCGTGGAATCGCCGATATGCAAGAAGGATGTATCTGGGGTCGAGGGGTTGAGCGATACTTTTATCGGAACGACGACGAGCGGTGTCGCGTCTGATAACGCTCGATATCGCGACGCCAGTCGTCGCGATCTCGAGGACTCACCTTTTGCGTTTCGTCAATATTGCTATAGTACACGAATGCTAAAATTAGATCGGAGTTTACTCTTTGATGTAAACAGAAGAATCGAGATATGTCGATTCTTCACTGATAATAAATAAAATCGCTCAGACATACTGAATTATGATGAGAAACTAATTATTTTTACTTATAAATAAATCAACTGTCAGCAAATTTATATTCTCATCTCAATATTAAAATATAAAGTATAATATCTTGTAGACTAGACACTTTGTATATTTTTTAATCACATCGATATAATTATTTTTCTTAATTCTACAGAGCAATTATTGGACGCCAGTCTGGACGCGAGTTTCGGCGAGAATTGCAACGCGAATGAACCACCTACGACACACGAAAATGGCACTGACATCCTTCAGGAGGGAACGTTCAGCCCGTTCAGCGGCAGTCTCGAGGATCTCGTCAACACCTTCGACGAGAAGATCACGTCTTGCTTCCGCGATTATGGCACCGACGTGGAATCGCTAGCACCAGTGCAGGTGCGAACGCAGGAGGAGATCATGAACGAGTGCCAGTAAGTCTGTTAATATGAGATTTTTTTAGCGATATCTGTATCTTGAGATATCTTTTTCAGATAAAATAAATTATTATTATTATGTAAATGAAGTAAGAGGTTCTATAGGATTATTAGAACTTTTCTTTGTATCGCTAACAACTACTCCACTATCGCGTCTCATTGTCGCAATTACCTCGATTAACCCTAATTAACCCTGCTTGTAAGTGGTCGCCAAGTTGCAAGTCGGTTTTCGGTTCACATGACTGAAGAGAACCCGAGTTACATTGCGGTATATATGATCGGTTTCTCCACGCAATCAACGGAAAATAAATTACGACGTATCGATGGCGAGAGCGCACGCTCGTCTGAAAATTGCCTTGTAAATGTAATGCACCTGCGTGTATATAGGTATATTAACATTGACGTTTACGTTCACGTGTGCGGACTCGATAGACTCGCTCGTCCGACAGCTCCATCCGAAGTGGTGATTTCACCATCGCGGAAATAATCACTTATCGCATTACCGTTTTATCGTTGCGCTCGTCGTAATACGCACGTAACGCGCATTAACGGGGACCGGGAGTATATATTCTCATATCTGCATCGGAGTAGCCTGGTCCACAATTCATCTCTTGCATCTCGATTATTTTAGAAATGCTCTCTCTCTCTCTCTCTCCCTCTTTCTGTAAAACTACGTCAGTGGTTTCACCTACTGCTCCATTTAATGCAATGCTGCAGCGAATGCAATACGATGCAATTTGATTGTAATATAGAATTTCACTGCTCGATCACTGTATTAGCGAGCGAAATGTGACACCACTAGTTATGTCGTCGAAAAATTTTTCAAATTGTTTATAGTTGAGTTGAAATTGAATTGAAGCTTAATTATCGTACTGAGGTATACCGAGTCGTTCAGAAAAATCAAAGGCAAGATTTTTAGATAATTAGGTACAGTTTGATAATACGTATGTGACATCGTTTTCTCACTGATTTTGAGCATTTATTAAACAGATTAAAAATCCTTTATTATAATATATATATATATATATATATATATATATATATATATATAATTAGTCTGTAAACAGACTGATAGAGAGAATGTTTCGGCCTTGCTATTATTATATCGGAGAAAAAAACAAACGAGAAAAAACGTTTCTTCTCTTTTACTTGCGAATCTGTCCGATGGTAACCATTGATTTTCCAGTGGAAGAAGTGTGTCGACATCATTAATGCTCTCTACGCGATGTTTACGGCACGCTTTGCAGCTTTCTCTCCGAAGTAGCCGTAGCATATCACGAGAGAGAGAAAGAGAGAAAGGATTAAATGCATCTTAATTATATGGATCCATGTACTGTAACGTTTTCTTCTCTAATTTATTTATTATCGAGTTTGATTGAAAATATGTCTTCTTTTATCTGTCATTTCAAAAGGATTTATTTTGAGGAGAAAGTAGGAAAAATTAATTAATCATTCACAAATCAAAATATTAAAATACCTACCATCTTTCTAAATTTAATATTTCTAAATTTAAAGATTAAGTATATTTAAAAATAGAAGAATATTAAAAGAATCTTAACATAAAAATATTTACTTTTCTAAACTCCATGACTTCTCAACCAGCTAATTTTTATCGGTTATACATCTCTACGTATATGTAATGAACCTGTACATCTCCTAACAAGGTACGACGAGATCTTTCGCAGCGACCTTGCCGGATAACTCTCTCGCAAACGTGCTGACGTAGGCATGACTTAAGTTGTGTTAAACTCTCTAGACTTTAGTCTAGAGATTTACTTAGGATATGGCGTAATTCGTGACACACTGAGAAATATGAGCAATTATTTTTTTTGTCAAATATACACATTTTCAATATACAATCTCCTCTATTTAAACAAAATACTTTATTTATTAAAATTAAATCTTGGATTAAATTCGATACACAAAGCTTCGCGAATAAATCGAGGAATCAAAGAACTTTGACTATTTTGGCATACATCGTTTCCAAGCTTGCGGGCAATTTTACGGATTGTTGATTATCGGAGGGTCGTCTAAGATTCACGCTATTCGGCAGGCGAGCCGGACAAATATTTTCGTCATAGGGTGTAAATTTTACAGTCGCGACGCGTACGCCGACAGGGCGAGGCTGCACGTCCTAACGAGCATAACCGAGCAGCAGCAGCAGGTGAAATTCAACGAAGCGCAAAATGATCCCTTCGTCTGTGCGCAACCACGCACAAAGCCGTTAAATTTATTGAACATTGTATCATTCGTCTCGTTATCTTTTTTTGCAAACGCGATTTTCGTTCCTTAGTTCCTTACGCACTTTTCGCAGGTGCGAGATAATCTTCTTGCAGACGCGAATTTCGGTCACCTTACGTAATTTTTGTTGAATTTGCATTTTTATCGTGATAAAACAAAAACATGCATTTTTATGTTTTTCGAAAAGATATTTTGAGAATTCAAAGTATCTCAGTTAGGCAAGAATTAATTTTATTTTAAACGAATTTAAACGTATCGAAAAATGATGTGTCTCGCAGGTCGCGAAATGAAGAAGAGCATGCATAGTTAAAAATAAGCCGTAGTTATGCTATATAGCAAACAAACAACTGGCAGGTTCTCTTTCGAAAAGTCGTGTCTTCTATGATTCATGTCCTCCTTGGAACGATTCAAATGTGACATGATCGATCGGTACCGATTAACGTGCGGCATTATTAAAGGGCTCTCGAGTGAGGTGAGTGGGGATGGCAGAGTATCCAAATGGCACGTCCTCTCTATTCCGATGACTAATAATAAGGTCATCGGCCCTACGAACGTCCGCGCGACAAAGCCGCGATAGCGATGCGAGTGCACGCGAGTCCGCGATGCGCTTCTGCATTTCCGCAGCAAAACGTCCACGCTTGTCCGTCTCGTCGCGACCCGATGCGTTCGAAACGCAATTCCACATTCATTCACGTGATTCCACGTTCGCGCTTTCTAGCGCGAGGCCGAGCGCGATGTAGTATGCACCGAGATATACATATACTTCAGGGCTTCACCGGAAACGGATATCGAACGGCGATTGATACAATTCCTTTCCCATGTGATCTGCGCGTGACACTTTGCATCGCGCGGTTTTGCTCTTACATTCTTCTGAAATTGCATACGGATATATTTAGACGTCAGAAGCGAAGGCGTGTTTAATTTAGTCAGATTCACGTTTCCCAGGTTAATCCGATTTGTTTTAGAATTATTTGCATTACATAATTTAATTTTAATAATTATGTAATTATTTTTAGACACTCCTTCCTCGAAAAGTATAATGTTAACGCATAGTTACGCAATGCGTTAATATTATACTTTTCGAGGAATTATACTTATGCTTTGGTATAAATATAACATAACACAAATTACATTGTGTTACGTGACTAGTATAGACAGAGAGAGACTTTAATATATACTTTTTTTCTCGGAATTCGATTATTCGTCAAACTTTCCATTTTTTCTGCATGAAACGATTCGTGCTAGACGGTGTTAATGTACGATGCGTTTGGAAATAAATAATTTCTTCCCGATTATTTTGATACTGACGAAACGCGTGACATGAAAATTTAATCTCTGTTTTGCTCCTTCGTTCGTATATCGAGCCACACACCACCCTCCGAACAGAGGAAGGGCGAACGTCAATATCGGCGCGCACGCGCTTTAGCGACCAGCAACTATCTAGGGTGCTCCGCAGGGGTGAATTGATATAAAACCGCTAGAGAGATGGAAGAAATCGTTTTATTTTAGTTAAAGAGGAATTTATATTACTTTTAAATATCTCTCCTATATGCGGATCTTATAAAAAGCAAGCGGATTTTAAAAAATTTATTAGGGATTGTGGAAAAGCATGAAATCCTGTTTTTTAAGAATTAATAATCAAGCTTTATGGTTGTTGAGTTTGTTTTTATTTATTTTTTTCAATTGCTATATCTATTTATTGCGATTTTTACGAGCGCGCGAAAATGAAAAAATAATTAACTCAGTGTCGTATAAATTTTTATATACGCTGTGTGTCATGAAACACGTTTTGATGCATACAATGTGTGCGCTGGGGATGAGGCTACTTTACATTAATCAGAAACTCAAGTGGACTAAGAAGTTGACCTCAATTTATATTAACCCACGACATCGAATGGTCGATCAATGTGTTGGCTTTCACTCTGATATCCATTGCAATTATTTTTTTTCTTTTATTTCTATTTATTTCGCCAGACATGAACAGACATGCACGCGAATTTTGAACAAAATAGATATTTAAATAGATATTTAAATATCAAGGTGTCTAATCTGTTCGCGCAATATATATTACATTTATTATTACACATATAGTATACATTTTTCGTCACATTATCTATTTAAAGTATACCTGATATCTTTTTAAAGGAGAGAAATTGAACATATATTGATATATTTTGGATTCAAGAACTTAATAAACTAATTTAGCATTTTTTTTTTTATATTTAATATACACTCAAAAAATTAGAACTCGCGATTATTAATTTAATCGATAAAGAAAGTTTAAGAAAGGTTACTGAAACTCGAACATTTAAAACTAGTGAAATTGAATAATTTTTTTAAGATTGAACTTTTATATACGCTTTCGAATAAGCTGGTTTATATTGCCTTGCTTAAAGAAAAGGCATTTATAAGGGAGAGATAGAGATTTCGGTTCATAAAGTACAATATTATACCATATGCAGATTTGGATGCCGTTTTATGTTAACTCCCACGATTACATTGTACGCAAATTTGCGCCGCGAGAAGCCACTTTGTTCCGGCGCGTTTGTTCCCCGCATGAAAAATCACTTCCCTCGAGTAAACGGCACGTTGCCTCCGTATCGTCGTTGACTTACGTTTTGTTTGCACGTGATTAAACGTCTTATCTATTCAGCGTATACGCGTAACACAGGAAACACCCACTGTCTCCTCTCATGATTCACGATTTGACGTCCTAGAAAACAGAAACTTTGTGGACAACTGTCTGTTGCTCTCACAACAGCTGTGTATAAAGCATTGTCCTAAGTATGTTCTAAATGAAGATATTCCCATGAAAATTATGTAAATATTAAAATATTTAAATTATAGAAACACGTGATATATATTAAAAGAGAGACTCCGTGGGAAAAAAACAGAGAAAGTCTGTCTTTCTCAAGAGTTATAGCAGAGAATGTCTCCGGCATATGTTTCTATGTTTCTAAATTCTAAATGATGGAACATAAATTATGTGAATCAACTTAATAATACTATTGCATTATATCATTCTCGTGGGAGCATCTGCGTTTATTGATCGTGCATCAGACGTCACGCTCTTGTAACAACAAACGCGTTCGTAAATTGCGTGTTCTTGGTACTAAAATTATGGAGATACATTTTCTCATTAACCTTTAGATGATCAAAAATTGTTGTGACATCTCTATAAGCAGATACTTTCATTAGTCATCAGTCATCAGTATACATATAGATATTTAGGATTACGATAAGAGATAAAGAGATTTAAAGAGTATTATGAAAGAAAGATCAAAGTATAAAATATAAAGATCAAAATGCAATGAAACACATTTTTAAATTATATTAATATTGAAATAACATTACGTGATATCCCGCAAATCAATTAAAATTTTACAAAACACAAGACGATTTTCTTGCATGCATTCACTTGCTTTCGTTGCAAGAAAAAATAATATATTTTAAAGAATTTTTTTACTGAAAAAAGTAAAAAAATACAGTGATTCTAACACTGAACTAATATTGAATCATTCGAGTGAAAATAATCTGATGACACATGAATTTAAGACGCGTTTGTTTTCTTGAGGATCATATAGATTAGAGGATATGAATCATACGGAAGACTTCGCATCTGTTAGCATTAATATATATGAATAATGTAAGAGAAAACGAGACATTAAAATCGAATAAGTTTTTAGAAGACATCGCAAAGTCTCTTAAACATTAATAATAATATTTCATTTTTCTTCTTCAGGATGTGGTGGACGATCACAGGAACTTTTGGAAATATATTGCCGATCGACTGGAGCAAATCCTACGCGAGGAAAATGCATATGCCTGCGTTGAATCTGAATGAAGCTCCCGCTTCGACAGAAAGGTAGATACATTTCAGCTTTACACATGATTTAATTAGCGATTTAATTTCATGGAAGATTTTACTTTTAAAAAAGCGGCTGATATGCGCGTCTTCTCATGCGCAAATATTTGTCAAAACGACATATTCAGTAAATTGACTTTGTTTCTTTACCTAGATCAGCGTTTCTTTATCTAGATTAGCGCTCGTAAATACAATGCTTGCGTTTTTTCGTTTGCCGTAGACCGGAACTAGAGGATTTAAGTAGCGAAGACGAGGCGGTTGCGACAGATTTGGACATGCATGCTTTAATCTTATCCAGCAGTACTGATACTCATAGTCCGGAGGAGCCACTCAAGACCGCCGAGGAAGTTCTTCGTGAAATAGATGACATAATGCAGGTAATCTCTCTCGGTATACTGAAGTACCTTTGTGTCGGTACAGTCGTAGCTAACGATTTTACATCTTGTTGTAGGAAAGTCCATCAATGGAAAGATCGCCGGATTCCGAGGATTCCATGTTAGATAGCGACGAAGCTTTGGAAAGAAGTAGAGAAGTACTTGGATCACCGCTTCATGAAAAGAGTACGTGTTGCAAAGTTTTTTTCAGCTAAATTAAAAAAAATGATAAATATAAATTTCATCTTTTTCTAAAATCCGTGTCTTATAAAGCGTCAAATGTTGTTTTTAGAATTAAAGCAACTCTCCTCCAGTCAACTGACTGAACTTTTCGGGGAGATGGAATCCTTGGTTGCGGCCTTGAGCGAAACTCTGATCGCCGAGCTTGCACTTAGAGATGAATTAGAGTACGAGAAGGAACTTAAGAACCAGTTCATCTCTTTACTGTTGGCAGTGCAAAATCGACGTAGGCAGCATCACGTTACGAAGAAGCGAAATCAAATGCAGAATGGTACTAGTCCGTTACCACAACATAGGTCTTTGCAAGAGCCAAAGGTAACTTACACCGCCGTATCGAGTTGCGCATTTACGTAGTACATTTTACATAGTATCGGCCGTCTAATAATTTATATACATATATTTTAAAAAATTCATTTTTAAAAATGATTTTTAATATAACTTAATTGTAATTTAAAGAAATGATAATATGCAATAAATAATTCCTATTTTATTCTATTTTTACTCTAGTACCTGACGACTGTTATTCCATATCATACAGACAGCGGTCCGCCAGACAATCAAGCTTTGCAAGTACTTATTAAAAGTAAGTAGTCAAATCTTGATGATCATGTATGTATACCTAATTATACATCAATAATATATCTATTTGTAGTACTAAAGGCCATTAGCGAGGATAGTCCAACAGTACCCACCTTGCTAACGGATTATATACTCAAAGGTATAACTGAATTGAATTTTACTGATTGCCATTTATGTTATAATAATCTTAATAATTCTTGCATTTGGAAATAATCTAACGTATATATTATTAATTTATAATATTAGATATTTTAAAGAAATATTTTTATAAAAGATTTCCTCGATTACAGTGTTATGTCCGACTTAAGGAAGGATATATCGAAAAAAAACGTGAAACGTCAGCAAAATACCACGTGCTCTCTTCTTCTTGCCAGTACGCTTTCTGCCGTCATTGTGCCGCATGTGTAATTAGCTTATAAGTTGTATCTCGGTCACACTCGATTATTGTATTGGCTGCAGAAGTAGATAAAGTCTCCGATATTCTATCTAGTCTTAATTTATACATTACGATATGTACATTACTTGCTTAAGGTATCGTAAGTATATTTTTAATAACTCGCGTGTAATACACATGTGTTATTGACTCGCATAAATCGTACATTATTCTTACGGTTTTCATATTTATATTGTACCATGATTCACATATAAATTCAGTTTTGTATTTTTTTTTCTTGTACATAAGAATCTCAAAGAGAGGCTTTCTTATATGCAGAGCCATCGCAAAGGCAGCACAGAGCTCCTTATTTAGGGTCTTACGAATTGCTACTTGTGTAGATCAGTTTCTACTTAAGAAATTCGAATGTGTATATTGTTGTAATAGCTCTAGTATAGCTTATATAGAGATACTCTTCATTCACCGATGTCACGCGCAAAAAAGGATATTAAAATCTTACAGTCAGTTAAATTATTCGCGCCCTCACCATACGATAATGTAATTGTTCTCACGCAACATGCAAAAGCTCGAGACACTTGTGTTCGTTAAAGCGAAAAATAAATTCCACAAATTCTCACTACTCTCGAATATCATCATCTGGTGATTTATTATAACTGCTCCATTATTTGTATCCCTATATTTTGATCCTTTCATTACTGATCTCCTGTTTTTATATATATGGCACAAAGATGTACTTTATATATGTATATCATAGATATTATATTTTAAAACTAGACAAATCACACATAAACATTTGGTATTATCATCAAATACAATTAAAAACGATTATCTTGTGAATTTAAAGACAGTCTTCATGATAATATCGTATAGGACATTGCGGAGCTAAACAGCTTGGTTGATAGCAACAATCTGGACCTCGACGATACCATTTGTCCGTCTGAAAATACAATTATATATATAGAATATTATTTATATAAATTATATATATATATATATATATATATATATATAATTATGTTTTAGAATATAATAAAAAATGTATGATATAATTATGCATATTATATTTTTGTTGTTATATCTTAAATCCGCGACAAAAACCTTGCTTTATTTTTCACTTTAACGAAATAATTGAATTTATCTAGGAATATTTTGTACACGTACACCTTGATGAACGTAGCTGCGACCAGGTACAACATGTTGTAAATCCAATCCGTGTTCACGTAAATTAGAGACCTTTATAGTCGTGAGAGTAGAGCAGTAGGTAATCAAAGGTCTTTTTTCAGGAAGTGACCACGCAGGTTTACATTCATCAGGACTAGGTTTAACATACCATGCTTCAGGATCGTATCTAGGATCATACTTAACGCACATCGTCGGTTCTTTTTTGCTACGTCTAAAATTAAAATATCCGTTTCTTTATTTCTTTTCTCAATCTTAACAATAGCGATGAATTGTTTCTCGACTCAACAACACGTATGTTCGTGTCCTCACAAAGAATCCATTTCCGCAAAGAGACACTTTAAACGTCGCAACTCCTGACCGGCGTTGCATACTCTATTAGAGAAGCCCCAATTTCCAATTGCTTCTGCCACACCGGTGCCATTGCCTCTGGAAAACTCGTACGTACACGGTATCGTCGGTATCACTGCCATTTTGACTGCACAAGTACTTGTTAATTTTGCAAAAATATCAAATATCAATGATTGAGGAAAATTAATTTATTTGACGTTTCGTCTGTGTGAAGTTTGCTCTGACATGCATTTTTCAAATTTTTTCTTTCAAACAATCGCAAAAATCGTTTTCTGCAAGTGCACTATAATTTTAGAATCAATAAATTTGACAAGCGACATAATTAAATTAAAAAGTTGCATTGTGTTTCTTACAATAAATGTACCTTTATTTTAATCTAACAGTAATAACATAATGCGGAAAGAATGTATGTATATGTATATAATATGTTGTGTATATATATATAATGTACATATATATATATATATATATATATATATATATATATATATATATACATATATACATATATATATATATACATATATATATATATATATATATATATATATATATATATATATATACACATATTTATACATGCATATATATTTATATAATAAATTTATATCTAAATGATTTGTTTCTAATAGTAAAATAGTCAATCTTTTTGTGTGTGATTCAGTATTTATATCTTAAATCTAAAGAATATCGTGCATTGACGTAGAATGTTGTATCAGAAGTACAATTTTTGCATAACATCAGCTATATTTGCATGATTATTTATCATCATCCACAAATATCAATCACTTCCATTCTCTAACACATATCGCAGACTCATGATTAGTAGTACTTGCACACTGAAATTTAATAAAATATCTCTAATGAGAATAATTATGATAAATAAATAGATATAATATAACGATTATAATATTGTAACGCGTGCTCACCGTGATTTATTGTATTTTTCCATCAATGTAAGCTTTTATAGCAGTCTGGCACTCCACAGAGCACCAATGCTGAATCAATAAATATGTTTCTGATTCAAGCGCAGCATCTAACTTTTTCCGTAGGCTGTGACGCAATAGAGCCTTTGTTGCTTCCATGGACTAGAAATAACAAAGATATATAATTATTTATTAAGATAAATTAATAAGAGAATTACAAGGATGTAAACAAATATAGCTTTAAAAAATATCCTATATAAAATCTCTTTCTCGATTATATGTACATATATAAGCGTGTATTTTTATGTTAAAATATATGTGTATATATGCAATATGGCGGAAAATGATTTTCAACATTTTTATTTAAGTGTCGTAACACCTCTGTATCTCTTACAATCGAAGCAAATACAACTACGTGATGTCATGAATATTAACATGTTTCGTAATTACGAGTCATGTGGGAGTGAACATGGAATCGAGATTGTATTAGCATTATCGCTACTTACATTAATATCAATGCCGCGATTGTGACAATCCAATCTAGTGTCCACTCGAGAATACGCATGTTGATTGTAAATATGTTTGTGAAAATCTATCTCCTTATTTTCATGATAGGCGCAAGTGCCGGTGTGTATACGACAATTAGCAGTAAAGCTAGCAATGTTACGTTCAAGTATATGAAGGGAGTTCGTATATATAAAATTGTATCACGTAAATACTACTCGATAGCTCTCAAAAGTGTATGGCATCTCTCATGACAGATGTTTATTGTATTCGTCAAAGCAGGTTGAAGGGGAGAGTGATTTGCATCACTGTAAACCTTACGAGGTATGCAACATAGTTCACGACCGATTTTGGATGTCCGGCTTGACAGAGAGGCTTTGCCACTGTCCTGATGGAAGGGAATGTCCGTGGCAATGGACGAAAACTATTGATAATTCAACCCTATCACTCAATAACAAATCAATTCTAAAGGTACAAAAATATCCAGGCAATTTGAAAAATATATTTATAATTGATATTTCTAAGAGTCACGTTTCTCTCTCTCTCTCTTTTCTTGATAGTTTTGCACAGAAATAGTGTTGGAACTAGATATTTGCGCGCATAGACAAGAGGCAGTGATAGTGTACGGGGAAAGTGATACAAATAACAACTATATAATACCATACAATGTAACAATAAATTGCATATGTCCGCAAACACATTATTGGAAATTACAAAAATACACGTACGAAGAGTATGGTCTCATTCAAGTATTCAAGTGTGTCAAGGTACATCTTGTAATAATATAAAATGATAGAATTCACTTTTGCATTTTGTAAGATAATAACTTAAATAATTACTATTACACATATGCACAGTTTAAGAATATTTTGTTAGATTATACAGTATCACATAATTATTGATTTCTTTACTTAAAAAAAAGTTTAAGCAGTGATATAAAACTCTAATTTGATATTTTTTAATGTGCAGAAAAGACTATGTAAAACTTTGGACTTTTGCGGTTACATACGAGCTGATCTATATTCGACATATTACAGATGCACATGCCCAGAAAAACATTTGTGCATTTTCAAGGATAAAACACAAGTAAATGTACAGGAATTGCTCTATTCTGGGCCAGCATACATGGCTTACTGTCATCGTTTGTAAAGATACAAAGGTATTTATGTTATAATTCAATAAATCTGAGAGAAACTGTTAAAAAGTATAATTAGATATAATGTATATATATATATATATATATATATATATATATATATATATATATATATATATATATATATATATATATATATATATATACATATACATATACATATAATTATATTATTATAATTAGAATAAAAATTATAATCAATAATTATATTATAACAGTATATATACACAAAATATAAAAATTGTTATTAAAATTACAATGTTAAGAGACATTGTGATATGTAACTTACCTGTGACGATTGATCACTCATAGCTCGCAATGACGGTAATAATTCTACTTGAAACCGATCAGGCCATAAAACTCGGGTAACGAGACCTGCTCTTAACGCTTCACTCGCCGTTAAAGTTCTTCCACCCAAAAGAAGTTCACTCGTCTATCGAAATGTAGAATATGCATTATTCTCCTTTTTTATGTTTGCAAACAAAAAACAATATGCCTAGAACTTACAATTGCACTGCCCAGTATGTGTGAAAGAGTGAAGACCGCAGCTCCTTCAGCGATTTGTCCTAATTTGCCGTAAGGGGTACAAAATGTCGCCTTGTCGCTAGCAATTACAAGATCGAAGAGAGGTAACATGGTCACTCCAAGTCCAATTGCAGCGCCTTGTACACCAGCCACTATAGGCTTATTGAAAGTTGCCAAACTTTTAATAAACTCCCTTGAAACAAGAAACAAGAAAGTTTTAACAAAATTACTATCAGATATTGTGCTGATTCTGTATTAAAAATACATACTTAACAGCATTTGCCAACTCTTGAGCGGCAGACCGTCGTTCCTCCTTAGTCGTTTGCATTAATGCCGAAAGATCAAGACCTTCGCAAAAGCTTGTACCTGTAGAAGTGAACAGTACCACCCTACATTCGTCGTCTCTTTTTAATATCGACAGAGCCTCTCTGAATTCTTGCATCACCTAATAGCATTGAAAATAATATTTAGTAATTTAAAGAAATATCTTAACTCTAATAAGATTACTTGCCTGTAATGTAAGAGCATTTCTGATTTTCGTCGATGAGGATGGCGTAAGTATTAATTGTACGAGATTACCATGCCGGCGCACATTGATTTCTTTATTGCTGAATTGACCTTGCGTTTCCACTTTCGTTTTGTTACTATCCACGTCCGTTTTACTTGCATTCGCTGGAACATTGTAAAATGTATTATTGTATAATTCATTAAATTATATTGTTTAATTTTTTTTGCAAAAAAATAAAATAAAATTGATTGAATTTTTTTCTTTAGTTTAGGAAAAAGAAAATACTATCGTGGATAGAAATTTCTACCTTTGTTCTTTCGTGTGGTCGCAACATTTCCAGATCGACCGCCAGTATTGACGACCGAAAGAGCAGTGGCCGCTTCAGCAAGACAAGCGGACAATTCATCCTCCTCTTTAGAATTCTCAGCATTGTCCGAGTCATCTGCTTTGACAAAAGTCACTTTGCTTTTCACGGCCCGTTTGCTCTTCGCCGTTACTTTCCCCGTTACTGCATTCGACGACCTGGTCGTAACTTTACTTGAAACATGGTCTTCAAACGCGTGAACATTTTCCTGTTGTTTACTAGTCTTGTCGATCTTTTTGATTTCAGATTTCTTATTGGGACGCGGAGCGACAGTCTTCTCATCTGCATTATTGGCAACAGCATTACTAATCGTGGTAGTTGTAGGAGTAGTACTGATAGTACCAGTAGGAACAGCAGCGACAGGTTCCGCGTCGGACCTTTGTACCGTTTTCTTCTTACTTTTCTTCGCGTTATTAATTTTCTCGTCCTGCGAATCCCGTCTCTTCTTGGCGGATCTCAAGGAGTGAACTGCCCCGTCGTCCGTCTTGGCAACTTCTGCTGGTTTCTCCGGCGCGTCGACGCTAACTCTAGGACTTCCGGACGCACTCGAGAACGAACTGGACGAATGCCTCCTGATAATGATAGATGCATCGGCCGCGTTTCTAATCTTCGCCGGAAGTATGAATTCCATGGAGGAGGCGGCACCTTTTGGCGACCCGAGCTGCTCTCCTACTTTCTTGTTGTCCGCTTGAACATCAGTTGGATGATTCGACGTTCTCTTCGACCTCGGTGATACTTTGGTGACACCGGCGACCGTCGACGTGCGTAATCGCAGTACGGCGTTGCGAACCAATTTCTTTCTAATCTTCAGTTCGCGCTGCACCTTCTGCAGATCCATCACCTTCGTCCGCGACTTCGTGATGGGCACCAGACGCTTCTTGTCCGGCTGCTCTACGTCGTACAATAAATTGACAACGCCCTCGTCCTGCAGTAATCTGTCTATCTCGTTGATGATCTTCTTCTTGGGTTTTGGGTCGCCGAGAGCAGTCTCGGCCGTTCGCTTCTGCGACTTGGTGACAGCCTTTGGGGAAGACTTCTTTGGCGACGGGGTCAATTTATCCTTCAATGCAACAGGTTTTTCGTTAGCTGGTATCTTCTGGCGCAGTAATCTCTTGACTACTATATTTCTCTTGGCGATCGCTTGCGAGCCCTTTTTAGGAAGACTCGGTTTCGGTCGAGAACTTTCGACTTTACTCGAAATCGGATCTGTCTTATCCTCGACCTGTTTGTTCGCCACTTCTTTCGCGACGGTTTTCTCATTATTTACAGCATCCGTCGGTGCGTCGCTCGCCACGACGTGATTCTCGATCGACGAGTTGGAGATATTTTCCTGTGTTTGCTTCTTACTCAACGAAACTTTACCCTTGTAGACCTTCTGCCGTTTTATCGTGTTCTGCTCGTGTTCTCTCGCCTTTTCCGTAGGTTTGCGCTTTCTACCCGATCTCGATTCTTCTCGCGTGCTTACTTTTTCAATCTTGTGATCTTTTTGATCACTTTTTTGCGGAGAACACAAATTTATCTCGGCAGGTTTGGTATTTGGTTGCGCATTTTCGCTCGCCGAATCCATACTGGCGAGTTCCTTCTCCTGTGGAAGTGGATTTTCCACATCCTTGGACACCTTGCCGGGTGCTGCTCGAAAAGTCTTCTTCTTTCGCGATGGAATCTTCTTGGACGACGTTACGGGCAATTCGAGGAGTTGCTTCAGTGCCATTTCTCGTTCGATTAGAGGATCGAGTTTCGGTGGCGCACTGTGATCGGATTGCGTCTCCACATTTGGCGGGGTTTTGCCTTCCTCCGTGAGAGTCGGTGGCTTCAAGATGGACCAGTCGGGATCAACGTCGCCTTCCAAGATAGCCAACAGTTCCTTGTTATCGGAATTACTGCCATCTTTGCTCGTTTCCGCTGTCGCATTTGCTACCTTTTTATCACAATTATCTATCATAGATTGTGATGCTGCAGAAGGGGAGGAAGAAGGTGTGGTTTGTTGCGGCAGAGGTATAAGACCCGGTACCGGATTCACCGAACTACCCGCCAATTTGTTGGACAGTCTTTGCGTTATTTTCTTCACGAAGAATATGTCCGGTCCGCGTGGCGTGTCTACAACAGTCTTCTGCTTCTCACGAAGACGCTCCTTCAATACCTCGGTCACTTCCGCCGGCGATGCTATCTGACTGGTTAAATGTCGAGAGCGATTCTTAGGAAGTGACGTGGTGACGTGCGATTGCGGCGTCTTGTTCAACGCGCTTCGTGAAGATTTGGCTATTATCGGAGAATTCTTCCCGCTCCTATTTAATGGCACTGCAGCGTCTTGATTGATTACTTTGTTCTTCTTTTGATTTTCTGTTCGTTCAGTCGAATGCTTGATATTCTTCTCACTTATATCTACATTATGCATCTCATCTGGAACATATTCTTTATTCGCGGATGGAGTCTTATCTTGAAGAGTCTCGTTTGTAACAATCTGATCCGATTTCGTTTCGTCCAATAGGCTTTTCAATTCGATCTCTACAGAATCGTGCACCTTCGAAGTCGATTGCGCATCTTCATCTGCATTCTCGACACCCCAATCGTCAATAATGTCTTGAATAACGCTCCTCTTCTTTGACGAGACCACGGATATTTCGCGAGCAGGTGTATCATCTTGTTTATGCTCGGTAATATTTTCATTATCTTCATGAGCATTTTCAATTTGTGGCTGATCTGCAGTGACTTCATCTTCCGTGATTATAATTTTTTCATCTATGATAATAGTGATATCATCTTTATTATTAGAACTGATCAGAGTTTCTCTATCAATCACTTCTGATTGAATATTTTCAGTTATATCTTTATGGATCGGAATTTTTTCATCGGTTAATTTTACAGACTCTATGTGATATTCATTATTTTCCACGCAGTTTTTGTTATCTTGCTGCTCGTACTGTTCTGTAGTAACTGGAGCATCTATAACTTCTGTTACTTCTATTATAGTATCATCACTTTCTTGACTGTAATCAATTAGATCAATCTTGTTGTCTTCATGCCTGGATTTTGAAAGTTTTTTTGCCTGTAAAGTAACTACAGTTTCCTGGTTGCAGTCTTTATTAACATCCTTCTCATCTACAGTGACAATAAAATTGTCTGCTGCTGTATCTGTTGTTGTTGGTTCTATAGTTTCTACTACTACAACTACTTCTTCTTCTCCTTCTTGTTCTAATTTAATGAGTTCAGCATCCGTTACTATTGAGCTATTTTGGTTACTGTCATTATCATGTATCTCTCTGATTGTTTCTTTAACTGATTCATGCGTATCATGAATCTGGCCCCCAGAGTGTTGGCTAAGTCTAGATTCATCTAATGTTAAACACTGCTTATCTATAGTATCGGATTGATTTGCATCTCCTACTATATTACAGTCACTTTCTAGAATATCTATTTCATCCTGCTTCGCTTCTATTTTAGATTCGGTTATCACATTTTGACTTTGGTCTTCCTCAGTGCACAAATGCTGCAACTCATGATTCGAATCTATTGTATTCTCTTTTACATGTTCATAAACAATCTGTTCCTGGTCTGATGTATAAATTTTTGTTTCAGGTTGATTCAACTCAGGTTCTACCCTATTATTATGTCCAGCATTGCTGTCGATATCTTTAACGGATACATCAATATGACTTGCGTTCAAGTAATCATCTGTTGCAACTTCTACATCGATATCAGTATCCTCTGCTACTAACGTAGTCTCCAACGGTGGCCTGTAGGCCTTTGGCGAATCCTGGCCACCTTCCATAGAAGTAGCAGCTTTTACATCTTGATTAACGATTTGAATCGTCTGTCCATCAATATCTGTTGGTATTTCCTCGAGTTGAAGAACTTGCATCTGCACTACGTCTGACTGTTCCATGGTAAAATACCAAGATACTCCAACTTTATTAACTAAATTATACAGTGTTTCCCTGTCGAAAAGAACAAAAAGAAAAATTATAATAATTTCACGATAAATGTAACATCTATATATGGCATGGTACAATATTTATAAAAACTGTCATAACCTAATAAGCGATATATTCGTTGCAGATGCCGGTGATCATATCAATCACGTTGTTTTACAATGTATAATTTCTTAATTAAGAATCTAGCAATTCCGAATTCTCAAATGAAACATAAACTACAGGATATAAAAAAAATCTCCGCACGATACCCACAACATGATTTCTCGATTAGGCGGCTAATTGAGACGATAGTGCATAGGGGCAGAGACCTGCGTCGAAACCGCGTTATCGCGCGAAGCTACGTAATTGATAAGGATGCTCGAAATTCTTGTAGGGTTCATATATATTATTCAAAGCGCGAAATTCGCGGAGAGAACGAAAGAAAGAGAGACGCGAGTCTAATGGCAGAGCGCGAGTATATTAAGCTCACCGCGTAACGGAGATGTGCCCATACTTTTCGTGTATTCCCCGACGAAGAGAATCACATGATGGGACTCACCGGCCTCGGTTCGTCGAAGATCGCGCGTTCGTCGCAAGATTCGCGCTCGCCGATCGATCTCGTGGGGGAACGGGAGGGGGAGGAAAAAAACAAATTATTTCATGAATCCAAACATCATGTTTACAAAAAGCACGAGAAATCGGAACCGCGCACTACGGACGTCAACTTAGGTACTGCTGTATTCCAGAGTCCTCGACGTATATACGTATGAGTGCGTATATATATGTATATATACACATATATATATGTATGTATGTATATATATATATATATATATGCGCGTATATATATCTCAAGATTTCGCGTTTCTCGGAGCGAAAAAATGGAAAAAACCGCGTAACGTCTGCGTTAATCGAAGACAATCACATCTTCCGAAAGTGCGACACGTTCGCGATTATTCGTATATATCGTTCATCGAAACACGTATATTACGCTAGGATGCGTCCACGGCCACGCCGTTCGCGCGCGCGACTCACGAATTTACGACAGTGAACTCTGGAGCGGGCGGCTGCGTTCGGAAACGCTGCTCGCGGCGATTGAGTCGACCAATCGGACGAAGGAAACTTCGCCCGCCAATACAATTTCCGAACGCACCCTGACTACGTCACTAGGCTTACTCGCGCGCCTATTGGTCGCTGCCTGCTCGCCGGTCGCTCATTGGTTCGAGCGCGAATGGAGAATTTGGATAGTTTCGGCGCATTTTCTCTAGAAACTCCACATAATTTCTTCTCCATTTATATAAATATATATTAGTTCGATATTCGTGTCAAATGCCGGATAATTCCCGCTGTTTTTTCTTCTCTCGCCAATGCTGATTCTAAATATTTGCCAAAGAGGAAGTATGTAGAATCGTTATACTTTTGAATCTTCAGGTTAGATACATAGATTAAAATGAATATGTGAATTATTTGTCACCTTATCAAAATAATATATTTTTTATTTTATTATATTTTTAAAGAATTTTGTAAAATTGCGTACAGTATTTATAAAAAAATATGCAACGACGTCTAGTAAGCAACATAATACAATGAGCACTAAAACAAATACATGTAAGAGGATATCTCCCGCGAGCAAAAAAACTGGGAAACATCCACAATCTTTGAAAGTGACCGATGCAAAACATAAGGTTTTATAAAATTCTTTATAAGATTACAAGTACAATTTCTGTCATAAATTTCATGATACATTTGTATAATCATCTGTTTTATCATTTTGATATATAGCATGTAACAGCAAGTCCTGTCAAAGAAGTTGTATTAATAAGGGAAGGTGATATTGTGGAAGTCACGGTAAAAAGAGATGAAAAGGCTAAAGGTCAGAAATGTACTTCACCTTTAATAATTTCTAGTCCTGGACAGAAAGCTGAAAAAGAAAGGTCTACAACTAATAATAATGAAATACCACAAAGCTGGGGTTCTAAACTTGCGGAGCAAAATTTATTATATATGAAATCACAGGCCTCTAAACATAGCAAAACTAAAAAGGCCAAAATAAGTTCAAGTGCTGAAAAACTACAGCAAAATGTGAGTACTATAGACATATATATATATATATATATATATATATATATTACGATGATATATTTAGCATGAAAATTTATATACATATTTAAACAAATGTTTCCAATTTTTATAATTAGTGTTTTTCTTACATTTAGCATATTCCAAAACATACTGGTAAAATGTTATCCAAAGGAACAGCTTCTCGGGAATTAAAAAGAGATCCAGGATATGTCTATGTTCAGGATCGTGCTGTACAATATCCTGAAGTAAACAATAATGCCAATATATTTGTTGAATTTAATCCAATACATACATTAAACTTTTTAATGAAAGAATTAAAGAATTTAGTTATGAACAAAGATGATAAGATCTGTGAAATCTGTACTCAAATGGAACAAGCACTATTAAGAATATCTGTAGACACTGCAAAACCATTATTTGAGGTATATATTGTTTTATTATTTACATTTTTGTGTATTATCCACATTCTAAAATTGTATTAACTTTTTTTCAATTATCATTATATATATATATATATATAACCTATTATTTATTTTTATAGGATTTAGAGAAATTAAACAAACTAGAAGCTGGTAGACTTCAATTAGAGGAATCTAGTAAAAAGGTTAAGACTATGTACGAATCATGGGCATCGGAACGAGAAAGATTTGAAAGGTTTGAGATGCAATACATCAATAATAATGAGGAAAATCAGGTAGTTAATTTTAGTTTAAAACTTTTTTTCTGTTTTATTACAAATTAGTTTAATTAAAAAACGAGATACGCAAATCAAGGAAGCGAATCAGAAACAAATAGAGTTCGTAAAGCATGCAGAGATGCTTAAAAAGGAATTGAATGAAGCAAGTCATATAATAAAAGATAAAAATGATATAATATCAGCACTAAAACGAGAAATTGAAAATGATGAAAGAAAAATTGAAAATCATGAAAGAAAAATCTCAGATTTAGAAACAGAATTGATTGAGCAAACGAACCTTACACAAACTAACGATATGTATCTGACAATGGAAAAAGAAAAATTTTCCAAATTGTCTTCTTATAAGGATGGTTTAATTGTCGAATATAAAAATACAATAATGTTAGTATTTTTATTAATATTTTTCTGTTAATCTTTCTTATATTTTTGTGTGGTCTCAAAACTTTCAATATCATTGATAAATGTGCAATTTTTAATGATATAATCAGAATCTATCAATGAATTTAAAAACAAAATCATATATAATTAATATATTATTAATTTATATATCACAGGAAACTACAAACTCAAATTGAAAAATTCAAATTAAAAAAATTTGAAATAAAAAATTTGAATGAAGTATTTGCAAAAGGAGAAACTGCAAGTTCTCAAACATCGTCTGTGCAAGCAGGATTCGCATTTTCGTCTCCTACGTCGAGCTTTTCCAATCACTCTGATAAATCCTGGAACGATTTATCGGATATTTCTACAGAAGAAGATGCCCCTCAAGAAGAAGATATTATGTTGAAGTTAGACACACTAGTTAGAGATTCGGAATTTGTTAGTTTACTCGATGGAGAATCATCGCATACTATAATGCCCGAACAAAGTCAAGGCAAGTATATTTGAATTCACTTTTATTAATTGCAAAAATGTTGCTATTGATGAAATCATTTTTATATATAATGTACATCACATTTTATATTTACAGTTGTGAATGATAAAGGAACAGTAGCGCACAACAATAATAAAAGTAATATTGTTTCTCATCGAAACGTGAATGATGTGATTCCGAAAAGATGCTTACATCATTCCTCTAAAAATAATAAAGAGAACGATGTATGTAAAATAAGAAAGTTTTCCAGATCTAAGGAAAGACAAAAAGATAACACAAAAAATTCGTCTTGTCATAATACATCGAAAATTCTCGAAAGTGTTACACCTACAAAATTAAAGGTTCCTAATATAAAGAAGCACGGACACGATATGCACAATAGGATACCTGTTAATGTACCGAGTCCATTACGGAATTATCCTAGTCCTGATTGGAGTGAAAGTAGTTTACCTAGCGTTAGTACAGCCTCCGATTTAAACATGATGCCATCCAACGATATTTAAAAAACTATATGTTTAGAAAAAAACTTGCAGTTTTCGTATCTAAAAAATTACAGATAATTGTCAATTTACTGAACATGTACAAACTTATATCTTGTTGCAGAGCTGTGATAAACAGTCGTACAATTAACATTCTACTTCATAATAAAGTCCATAAAAGATAAAGCAATTTACATTAAGTGAAATTGGTTAGTATAATCACGATATGTATTAAAAATACACATAATTTACACAAACACACACATTCCTTTTAAAATAATAGAATATAATATTTTCATATCGATTATTATATTTAAAAAAAATTTTATTTTAATTAATTTTATTAATTTAAAATTAAAGCATAGATTTGATAAAATTCTAAGACTCAAATTATAAAAATATATAGACAGTCAAAAATATATTTTTCTGTAAATATATAAAATTTTTATTTGCAAATTTATTTGTATCGGTATCATATTTGTCACGGTATCAAGATTTTTTGACATATACGTATATTATATTACGAATTAACTATGCACATATAAAATGTTTCAACGTATACACTTGCTTTACGGAGAACAGGTCACGAATATAAATTTTACGCACAAGAACAAGATGTATATATAGATATATATATGTATTTTTTTTATCACATATGTATATATACAAGTAAAGTATAATACTTATAATATTTTGTAAGTCTTAATTGGATTAAAAGGGAACATTTTAATACACGTAAAACATTCATCAGTTTTGCATGAAGACGTCTTGAAATACATTTTTTTTATATTCGTGTTTTCCAGTAAGCGTGTGGTATGTAACTTTTTCTCCTAAACGATTTTCGCGATTGTTTTTTCTCGTGATGATTTTTAATTGCTCGAGAGAAATGTTTCCTCTCTGCTAACGACTAATAACGATTCGACACGCTCGAAATTAATAACAATAAACTTGGAAACAAAAAGGACCTCGCAATTTTGTTCGGATGAGAAAACGGATACGATGAAAACGTACAATAATGTTTAAAAATCTTTTTATTTATACACACTCGTGCTCTCTCACAAGGGAATTTTCCTCTGTTTATCTCATTTTTTTTTTACACACATTTAATTATACCTAAGGACGTACCCCGTATCTGTTTTTCTTTTTTTTTTTTTATAAAATAGTAAATCACATGTGTTTCGCCAGTCGTTTAATTTTGATTATTAATTTCAGGCTTTCAAATCGACGCGCGCAACCTCCCCTTCTCCTTCTCCTCATCGTCTACGCGCGCAATCGTAGATTCGATATATCGATACCTCGCTTCTAAATCGTTCTCGACCAAAATGTCCAATTTCGTGTGCGACGCTTCGCTTCATCCGTCCGAAGAAAATTCCGTCGCGATTTGAGGATATTTGAAGTTTCCTTCCCTCGGATACGTATACTTTCACGTACAAGTAAGTACGGTTGTTGTTCTCTTAGTACATATTACAGAGGCGTTCTAAAAAATGTGAATTTTATTTGATTCGTCCGTCGATGATCTCCCACGACTATATATATATATATATATATATATATATATATATATATATGTATATATATATATATATATGTATGTATGTATGTATACGTATATATATATATATATGTATATATATATACGTTTAAATTGTCTCTTTAACATATACATATTAAATGTATCAGGTCGTGTCAAAAGTCGTGCATTTCCTCCGAGAATTAGCGATCAGAAAAAAAAATCTCCGAACAAAATTTAATCGATCGATTTAATTTCCGATATTTTTGCCAGAAAACTTAATCTCGAAGGATCGATTTTGTCATTAATTTACATCTCGGTGGCTTAAATCGCCAAAGTTCCTTGATTTGCAACAAATGATTCTTCGTGTACCTAAACCTCAAATCCAACCGGAGGATTGTGAAACATCGCTGGACTTTTGATACAGCCTGTATATATATTTATATATAAAAATCATGTAAATCAAAAAATACGACGATATCTAGGTTATAATAAAAATCGTATGCACAGTGTTCTATCGGATGAGAAACTACCTCGATAAAACATTGTAAGTCGATCGACCAGTTAATACAACAGCAATAATCGTTGCCGATGAAAAGACATATCTTGTACACAAAGGTTTGATGTTAACGATTTCATATTAGCTAAACTTTTATCTCTTGGAGGGATTACATACCGAAGTTGTTTTTTTTTCAACGAGCTATATGAAATATTATAGAAAAAAAAAAATTAAATAAAAAACTACAACTTTAATTCTGTCAGGCGTTCGCTCTAACGCTGAAATTTCTGCGAAGAGAATTTCTGATTAAAGAACGATACCACGTAAAGTCGCGTGACTCTTGACAGTGTTCGAAGTAGCTCTCTCTCTCTCTATCTTTCTCGCGCCATTTAAATAATATAAAACTCTTATTCCTCGTTTCTAATCGCGTGAGATGTACGCGGACATTCTTTCCGGTTAAATTCGGAGATTACCTCGAAAAAGAATCATCGAAATCCCCGATCGATCGCTACACGGAGAGAATTTTCTCTTAGAATTTAAAATACTTGAAAATCATGGTAATCGTAGGATAATATCGGAAAAATTTTATAAGAATTTTTCTGATTAATATTTATCACGATAAAAAATATTAATATGTACATAGTAAAATTAATCGAACATATTTTATATTTTATTTTGGTGGATATTAATATTTTTATTGTGCTAGATATTAATCAGAGAAACTCTTGTAAAATTCTTCCAATATCATATCTTGTCTCACGATTACGATGATTTTCAGGGTAAATTCGAAGAGAAAATTATTCTCTCTGTGTATGTATTTTAATCTCGCGAGATTCGATCGGTCATCGTTGACTTAGATTACGTTGGAGCCCATCAAAGTCTTGTCGCGCAAAATTACGTCGATATCTCTCGTTTTCTTCGTTTGATTTTATATCTCGCATACGAAATAGCCGAAAGAATAATACGTCGGAGAGAAAAATATTTAACACACACAGATATTCGGCACGGAAACTCTTGCGTAAATGTGTACGTGTCTGTGTGCGCGTTCGTATATCTATTATTTGTTTTTTTTTTCTCCTTTTTTAAATAAATACATATGTACATTTTGTGTCGATCGTAAAGTTAAACGCGCGCATTCGCCTTTGGTACCATTTTTTGTTTGCTTCTCTTTTCCTTTTTTGATTTTCTTTTCGCTTCGAAGCGCATACACATCTCGCGATTTTAAAGATTATTTTCGGAATTAACTATAGCGTCAATGTATAATATAATACAATCGGTGCTGTGTGAAGACAACGGACGAATGGAACGCTAACTATATCTATTTGGACAGGCCAGCTCGTTTCGCACAATTTTTTTTTCGCAGAAGAGTGTCTCGTGAAGAAATTAACACTTTCGTAATTTTTTTTTCCTTGTTGATGATCGCGGATTAACGGCCGCGTCTCGTCTCGCACGGTATAATATCACTAACATATGTATACGTATCGTATAATGCGTATATTACAGTAGACGATCATTCGTGTAGAAATCGTAAAATTGTGAGTCGATTAAAATGAATCTAGCCGACTTTATAATATCCTAATTAATAATCTCAACTATATAATTATACGCCCAAATATAGCTCAGATATCGGAAGTGATAGTGGGCACTGTTGTAAAAATAAAAATTTAACATTTGTCATCTTGAGGTTGCATGTTATGGAAGGACATGTTTTATTGTTTTATTGTACGTTATATACTGCTTTGTTCGGTGTAAAAATATAAAGCATTTCGATTACAGACTTCATACGTACGGGCATTGCCATTGTTACGGAGTAATCGGCGGCTATTACGATAACTTGTCTCACACTTTTCTGCAACTTTGTCTTTCTCCTTGACGTAGGATTGCGTGTGCGTCCGGTTAAAAATTAAATCAAATCAAATCAAATCAAATATGGATCATTAAAAAGGAAGTAATGCACAGCGAAAGGGGTTATTATACAAATTAAATCGCGGAAATTATTGCTAGATAATCAGAAAGAAATGAAAATGTGTCGGACGTTTCCTCTCTCGCTATCTGAAAGGATAATATTAAAATCCGATTGTTGCAGTTTTCGAGAAATGTTTGTTTCTTAAATTCTTGGGATCCTCTGTCTTAATTGTCCTTCGGACAATAGTTATCGCATTGTAAAGGGACGCAATTACACGCGGATATTAAAAAAATAATCCCAGCTTTATGTAAGCAATCCTACTTCAAGAAATATAGTCCCGAGTTCTCGTTCGTCTAACAATGGCCCAGACTATGGAGTTAATAATTGCTTTCATGTGGCAATGGTAACAATATGTGTGTATAACAAATATACTTAGAACGGTTTCACTTGTGGTATTACGGCTCTCTGCAATAAATCATATTCATCTGTTCAACTGCTGCTGAATAACAAGGTATGCGGAGTAATATATGTAGGTACAACGCGACCAACTTTCTGCATCGCTTTTCTGTCAAACAAAAGACAATTACTCATATAATTATCGAAGAGCGAAGACGACCTCGGCTACTATTTGTTTCTATGTCTTTTGATTTTAAATAAAGCTTTTCACCCCGTACAAAAAAAAGATAGAAATTTAAAGAAATTGATTCTCTCACACATATATACGTATAATATTTCTTCATATAGAAATTTACCAATTGGAGATTGGAAGTTTATCAATTTTCCCCCTTATATTCATTTTAATCCTTTCAACGCGGAATTAAAAGCGACTTAATTCTTTTATAAGAATTAAGACTCTATCTCGTTACAGCGAGAAAGAGAGCGAATTTTTTTCTAATTTTTTCACATCCGGCATTTTATTATATCGTTACAGTATTCCGCGAAAGATATCAAAAGGATTACTTCTCCACTCGCTCTCGTATAAGCTATACTTGCTCATCGCTCGCGATTTATCAATTTCTCTTTTAATTCATCTTTTTTTCACGGGGTTTTTCTCGGACACCGAGTGTTTGTCTTTTTAACGCTCCTGCGATTATACGAATAAATCACAAAAGTAATTGTCCGGAAAGCGACGCAAAACTTCCGTCGATGTATGAACTTGCTGCAATTAAACACTATACACTTCCTGCTCGTGCCTCCCCAAAACACGACGTGTACGGACTTTCGAACGACTACTATTTGCAGTCCACTAGGCGCGAGATACGCAATACGTTTAATTTGTGTGTATGTGTGTGTGGATTATCGTTATTATTACTTTGACATTTTCGTGCGTCTCTTTTCTCAA